GTTAGTTCGCTCTGCATCCGAGCTGTGGGATTTACAACACGCAAATTCATCCTCTCCTCCCGAAACATGTTAAAGTAGGTCTCCGGTAAACTGGGAGAAGAGCAGAGTAAACTTTATAGTTATCCACACAATCTGTATATGACATCAATGAAAACATGTCGTCAGATTATATTTGTAAGGAGGATCATTATTGCCGCTTCCATAGACATCAGCGTGCATTTTACAAACTGTAAATGTATGGTTTTGCTAGTACTTGTGTATTTAAATGTCTGAAACCTAAAATAAGCATTATATGATTGAAAACACTGAATATTTGTGATAATATGACAAGCGCTCCGCGCGTCCAATCTGGCTCCGCGCCAGCCAAAGCGCGAAAGCGGATTTAAATTCAGCGGTTGATGACATGACGCACTGAAAGTTCTAATCACACCGGTGTGATCGTCTGCTCCAGGTACCAGCCAAGACTGATCACACTGGTGATTAAGCTATCATATGGCTTCAGAAGTAACACAGAATAATTCGCACAATCGAGAGAAAAAAATTTAATAAAATATCGGATTTAGATCGGCTCTCTCTGACCGATACCCGATCCGAGAAAAATGGCACTATCGGAGCCGATACGAATATCGGATCAGCACATCCCTAACTTAAATGGTTCCACATTGTTTACTGATTTTTACTTTATTTAAACGGTGTCATTTATTATTATTTGTTTTACATCAAGGTGTATGCCGTGCCTTCAAGCTTTCTTACTCGTTTTGCTAATAAACGTTCTACGTTTCTTATTTATTTGGTTAGATATTATACATGTTTACTTAGCCTATTTCCAGTTTTGTATACCTATTTAAACTTTATGCAAGTTATTTGTTATTTTATATTAGGCATAGCCTGCCCTAGATCATGGTGTATTTTTGTTTTGTTTTGTTAATAAAAGTTCTATGTTTTATATATAGGCTAAAGTGTGTTTGACGTTGTTTTAGGGCTGCACGATAAATCAAATTCAAGCAATTGACGCCGAACTGACGCTAATTCGAAAGTGAAAGTAAAATGCGCACGGCGCTTTTAAACTATTTAAAAGCGAGGAAAAGAGGGGAAATTCAAACGAACTAAAAACGAACAATTGCTTTATGCCGAATTGCCGCTATTTGAAAGTGAAAGTAAAATGCGCACGCAGTTTTTACAAGCTATTTAAAAGCGAAGGAAAGCGAGGAAAGGAGGGAACGCCCCCGCGGTGATACCGGTATTACCGGTGCTGTCACACGTCGATTAACCGGTGGGAATATTTCCTCACCGTCACAACCCTAATACTGATGTACAAATCCACAACTTGCTGACACACATGATAAACTCTTTTTAAACTGGTAATAATTCCTTATGAACTGTGTACATTACGGTTCTATTTTTAACCAGAAAATCAGGGGAGAGCGCGAACGCAGTCCCCCACTACCAGAAATTATGCAGTCGAGATTCCCACATTTGGGGAATTCGCAGGGGTCAGCACAACCGGAGTGCAATGGCTGAGCCTCGCCCTGGGTGAACCACCTTCTTGATCATGGTATCTCCCCTGCCAGGTAAGTATGAATTCTACACTGACCCTGAAGGGGGAGCACTTAAGGGAACCTTATTTTCGGTGATGATGAGACGTTACTTCACTCCATATGGTTCATCATCACGATCTAAACTCTCAATCTACTCTAAACTCTAGATCTTGTAAACCACTGGTCCTTAAGTTTTTACAGTAGTACAAAGACTACAGTGATCATTGACAACTACATTCAGACAGTTGGGCCTTCTGATGAAAGGCTGCTCACTGCAGAGCAAATGGGTGGAGTTTACGTGTAGCTCCCCCTCGCTAGACGTCCAGCAAGGAGGAGCGAATATAATTTGTCCTTAATGGGTGGAGGTAGAATATTCACCCGCACCCTAACCCTACCCACAACTCTATCCTTCCACCCAATTAGATGTCCAGAGACGTGGAGCTGGAATTAATTTAACTCTGCAGTTAGTACCACTAGCTTCTGATTGGCCACAGTGGCTGTAGGTCTCTCCACCAAATTTCTAATCGCGATTACAATTATGGATGCCACAATTACGTTATCGTTCAAAGCGGCAATTAATCGTTCAAAGTCCACTTATGTTATTCTGTGTGCTTAAGATGCTTTTTTTCTTTTTCTACATGTTATATTAAGGGTTTTTCCATTGTTTTCATTTTAGTATGACACTATATTACCATCATATTTTTACTTTTTTAATAATTTACAGAAGAAACCAATCCGATGTATAGTTGTCATTTGAGGCTTAATACTATAGAAAAGCACTAAGTTTTTCAGTTAGTGTTTCCAGCTTGTTTATTTTCATATAAAAATACGGCATGCAGTTGCATCAAACAATGGTATAAACATCAATGTAAATTGTGATAATCGTACTTAATAAATCGCAATTACAATTTCAAGGGAATAATCGACAATTATGATTTTTGTCATAATCTTGCAGCCCTAGGCAAAACCTTAGTTTACTTGCATGGAGAAATTTATTTTATTTGTATTATTTATTTGACTTGGGATTTGTTTTAAAATGTCAAGTTAGTATATTGTTTCACATTTTCAATTTCACAAAGTAATGTGCAGCCTTTTGGTCTGCGAAATAACAAAAGGACACCTTTTTTAAAATCGGTTAAAAATTTGGTTAAAAAATAAATTGTGAGAAAACTGTATTGTGAAATCAGTATCGTGAATCACATCACATTGTGAGTTGAGTGAATCGTTACATCCCTATATGCTACTAGGCCTGTCGTAATAATCAATATATTGATTTATCGCGCAATATATGTACATGACCTCAATATTTTTCGGTGACTCAATATATCGCCCATTATATTTACTTAAATTAATGTCACCATGTTTAGTACATTCCACTTGCGCCTGTGTCTTTTGCAGCTTCTTGTACATAACGTGGTGTAGTCACGAGGTGCTAGTTCAAATTTTAAAAATGCTTCTACAAACCAAGTTTCATCTGCAGATATGGTCTTGTTTAGGGATCTGTGCCTTTATGCATATGGACTAGGGCTGTGCGATTAATCGATATCGCGATTTGAGACGTTGCGATTTCCTAATCGCAAACCCTGCGATGTGGACGCGATATTACTCTGTTCCAGAGCATATGCATGACTGCCAGCCTTGAGTTGCAATCTTCTTACTAACCAATAGAGTGAGCGCACCTCCGTTCCCCCCAATCAGCACTGCTCTAGCCAACTGAGTAAACACCCACCATTAAAAAAAAAAAAGAAAACAGACCGCGGGACGGGAGAGAGACAGAGTTGGATTATGGCGTCTACTGGGTCAGATCGATAGTTAGGCAAATTAAAACTAAATAAAACCGTATGCAACTTAAGCTTTGAAATGACAGACATCGAACAAAAAAGGTAATTTGCAAGAGCTGCGTCACAGCGTATATCAAAAGCTCCCGTATCGGTTCTGTTTTCAGTACTGGAGAATAAAATATACATTCTTAGATGTTTTTGTTAGTACGTGAACGTTATCTTACACATTTGATCTCCCCAACAGATTAATTTGAAATAAGTTTATAATGCATGTTGGCTATTCCCAATTCAGAAGAGCGTACACACAGCCTGTGTCTGTGAATGCTTCTCATACTCGCTCCTCTCTGACGAGCCGTTCATGCTTGCCGCACTCAGTAAGTAATTCAGTAATTAAGTAAAAGTAAAAGTAGTTATACCATTATAATCTTGCCTGCTGAAGAAAACACAATAACAAATGTAATGGATTTCAAGGTTATAACGGGAATTTGTTTGGTTTTAATGTAAACTATAATGGTGTCTATTTGATGGACTCTATTGGTGGGATGTAATCTGGCAGATGGCAACCAATAGAACAACAGTAATTCCTATTGGAATATTGCCCAAAACAAAAAGGAGTTTTGTAATGGTTTAATGGAAACTATACGAATTTCTGTGATGGTTTCTATTATTTTTATTTTGAAATTTTGCGAGCCCTGGAAATGCTACATTGTGTAAAGTAATCAAATGTATAAAAAGACTGCATATTTTTCTGTGTAAATAAAATACATATTTCTTCTTATTAAAGTTACAAAAGTGATAATCAAGAGCAGTGAGAGATTTTCTTTTTTTCTGTTTGATTAAAATGAATGACAGACAATGGGAATATTAAGACTGCTGTCACTTTAAGAGCTGCCCGGATCCATATACTGTTACACATGCTTTTTGTTTTTTCTCAGCTGTTTGCTTGTGTTTCATTTTAAATATCCATCAATGTAAAAAAAAATGTTTTGTTTGCAAAATGGAGTAATTACAGCACCTACCAGCAGGGGCAAACTAGATTAACAAGCCAAACTTTTACCCATTGCTTTTGCACACACATACACCCAGACAAAAGGTTTGTGACTGAATAATCCCTATTTTCTTGCATGCTGATTAAAACAAACAAACATATAAAAAAATATATAATAAATTAGTGATGTTATGTTCAACATGGAAGCTCCAAAGCTTGTATAAAAAAAAAAATCAAATAAAAACACATTTCACATCGAAGCACTGCATCGGAGCTTGATTCGTTTTGCCAAAAGCACGTGATATATGACGCCCGAAGCTTCTAGTGATGTTATGTTCAACATGGAAGCTCCAAAGCTTGCATAAAAAAAAAATCAAATAAAAACACATTTCACATCGAAGCACTGTATCGGAGCTTGATTCGTTTTGCCAAAAGCACGTGATATATGACGCCCGAAGCTTCGTTCACCTGAAAACCATGTGATTGCTTCAGTATATGGTTCAAACGAAGTGAACCTCAGTGCCGATTCCTTTACATTATATTCAGTGTTAATTTTGACAGGCATTTTTGATTTAGTCTTAGTCTTTATCTTGAGACGAAAATGCTTAATAGTCTTAGTCACATTTTAGACCTCCGTGAAGTTGGCCCCCCACCCAACGCAAAACGTCGGCAAAATAGTCTCAATCGTTTGTGCTCCGTTTGTGCTGTAAAAATTTTAGTTTGTGCTGCTTTGGTTTTTTAGATATTAAAATAATATTTATAGTTCATTCTGAGGTCACCCAGCCCCCCAACATACTCCAAATTCACCCCAAATAGTCTCGTTTGTTTGTGCTTCGTTTGTACTGGTCTGTGCAGGTAAGAATTTTGTTTGTGCTGCTTTGGTTTTTAAAATATTAGACACTGAATTATATGCGATGACGTAAACGAAAAAAAAAAACTTGGCCTATTTCATTATGTCTTTACATTAAAAAAATAAAGACTTGATATACATAGGCCTATTTTCATTTCTGCACACAAATAAAACATGCAGTAGCCTACTGTTTCCAGGTCCGTGTAGCCTATACTTTTGCATCCATTCGTTTTTCGTAAAAAATGAAAAAAGAAGGATTGTTGTATTTTTAAATGCCATCCTGAAAACCAAATTTGAAATTAGAACCATACACAAAATGCTGCCCGAAAAAGTAAAATATAAATTATTTACCTTTTTCTGATGCAACTGTTTTGAAAGCTTTGCTGGTTCAAAATGCTTCGCCATCACTAAAATAAATAATGAAATAAATATATAGCAGCCAGCATCACTACTTCACACTTTATAGAGGTTAAACTACAACAATCCATCCCAAACATAATCATACATACTGACCACTAACAGCAACTTTTTACTCAACCAAAAATAAAATATTTCTTTACACATTTACTACCATCACGCATAAACAAAACTTTTTTTAACCATTTTAGGGAGGGGGTGCACCGTTCCCGGAAGTACTGCAATACCGGGTCGATGCGTGGAGTGGACGGAGCAAGCCCCTATTCCATCTCCCTGCTCCAAAAATCAATTTAATATATGGTGCCCGGGTAGGGCACGTATCAGATATTAAACTGATAAGAACAGATTTTTTCTTTCGAAAATTATTTATTGTCACAATTCCTTCATTCATTCACGCCACACATTTTTAAATGTTTTCTGTTGATTTTGAAAAATTACGGACAATAAAACAAATGTACAAGAGTATTACATTTTTGGTAAAATCATAATGTAATGTGATGTGTAAAAGTCCATTTGTGTCCTTTTTTTTTTTTTTTTTTTTTCTTAAAAGCAGTGTGGTATTCAAGGAAATAAAATGAAATAAATAAATAAATAAGAGGTAGAAACAGACAAAAGGTAAAAAACAATGGCCACTAAACAGTCATCTGTGGTGCAGGATCAGGGGTGAGTCCCTGTCAACATTTTCCATTCACTCCAGGTCTCCAGAACAGGCCCCGACCTTCCTGATTCAGGGGTCCAGCGGAGAGTGGTGAGGGTGCATCTACGGGCGGTCAGGGTCGGTGGCGGCCGGGACCTTTCCCTTGTGACCCCGGCCCCCCCGTCCGAATATCGTCGCCCGGTACCCCTGCAGCATTGTTGTTACCATTAGCTCGCATGCATGGAGGGTTACCGTGACGCGCTTCCCCACCAGCAGGTTTCTGGTGGCCCAGATGGCATCTTTGATGACGTTAAGGGTGAGCCAGAGCGAGGTGAATTCCTGTTCTTTCATGTCCTTCAAGCCCCGGCCCACCCCAAAGATGGCGAGCTGGTACCCTATCTGGGCCCCACCTGCTGGTAGGCACGGGAAATACAGGGGGCCGGTCTTGGCCCACAGGTCCCGCGCAGCGCCGCACTCCCAGAGCAGATGACGAACGGTCTCCGGTGAACCACATCCGGGCCGTGGACAGGTTGGGTCTTTTGCCATGCCTCTGGAGTGCATTACCGCCCTGACCGGGAGGATCTCATGGGCCACCATCCACGCCAAGTCTTTGTGCCTGTTCTGGAGAGCTGGGTGGGCAACGTTCCGCCAAACTTGTTTGGCCTCACTTGGCGTGAGGCCTGGAACTGGACTCACCATTTCTCGATCCTGCACCAGAGAGATAAGAGAATTGTGATTAGTTAAAACCGTGGCATCGTTTCCTTCTAAAAGGTATTTCTTTAAAAAGATCTTTATAAAATTATATTCTTTTGGCAGATTAAAAGATACTGGACTTTTAAGATCAATTGATAAAACTCTCAGTGATCTCAGGTATGACCCCATCCAGAACCGGACCATTGCCGCTGTCTTGTTTTCTCTGGAGGGGGTCAATGCATATTGGATATGGAGGGCGGCGAAATGGCTTCCTAAAAACAGGTGGGGGTCTGGGAGGCCTTTTCCACCATTTTCTCTTCTTTTTTTTAACAACCTCTCTCTTTATTCGTTCCCACTTGGACCCCCACAAGAAGTAAAAAACCGCCCTCTCCAGGTTGACCAGGAATCTTCTTGGTGGACTAAAAACAGAACAGACAAGTAAAATTAAAGGTAAAATCACGGCTTTAAAGATTAAAATCTTGCCTTCAATCGTCATCTGTCTTAGTCCCCAAAACCCCAGCTATGGAGGGTGGCGAAACGGCTTCCTAAAAACAGGTGGGGGTCTGGGAGGCCTTTTCCACCATTTTCTCTTCTTTTTTTTAACAACCTCTCTCTTTATTCGTTCCCACTTGGACCCCCACAAGAAGTAAAAAACCGCCCTCTCCAGGTTGACCAGGAATCTTCTTGGTGGACTAAAAACAGAACAGACAAGTAAAATTAAAGGTAAAATCACAGCTTTAAAGATTAAAATCTTGCCTTCAATCGTCATCTGTCTTAGTCCCCAAAACCCCAGCCTTTGCCTAACATGTCAGTCCAGTTTCCCCGTCCTCCACCCTCTTTGTCAAATTTTACTCCTAAAATTTTTAAATCATTGTTTTTAAAAGCCAAATCGAATCCACCTGTGTCCACGTCTCCCCACGGCCCGAAGAGCTGGGCCTCGGACTTGCTTCTGTTGAGCTTAGCACCCGAGGCCCGACCGTACCAGTCAGTCAAGTCCATTGCTCTCCGTATTGATAAAACGTCCGTAGCTAAAAGGGTTACATCGTCCATGTATAAAACACAGGTCGCTGTCAGTCCACCCGTCCCAGGAACGTCCAGTCCTTTGATCCATTTGTCCCTTCTCAAGATCTGTGCCAGTGGCTCGATACAAGCCACATACAGAAGAGGAGATAAAGGACATCCCTGACGGACGCCACTGTAGATATTCACAGTTTTGGAAAGATGCCCATTTACAAGGATTTTGCTGACTAGACCCTTGTACAGCAGTCCAACCCAGGCTATAAACCTTTCTGGAAACCCCATTTTTTGCAGTACCCGAAAGAGGTACTGGTGCGAGACTCGGTCAAACGCTTTTTCAAAATCTAAATTGAGGACTACTAACCGAATGTTTCTGTCTCTCGCATAACAGATGGCGTCTCTAATCAGCACTAGGCTGTCTGTTATCTTTCTTCCGGGCACAGCACAAGCTTGATCCGGGTGGATCACATCCTCTAAAACAGTCGACATGCGTGTCGCTAAAATCTTACTAAAAAGTTTACAGTCAAAATTTAAAAGCGTAATTGGTCGCCAGTTCGTCAAGTCAGTCTTGTCTCCTTTTTTGTGTAACAATGAAACTATCCCTACTCTAAAGCTGTCAGGAAGTCTGTCAAGAGTCTCAAATTCTTTAAAAACTGTCAACAATTCATGAGCTAAAATGTCCCAGAAAGTCAGATAAAACTCAAGGGGAAGTCCGTCCATGCCGGGGGACTTCCCCTTTTTAAAACCTTTTAAAGCTTTTTGCATTTCTAAAAGTGTCAAATCCTGGGATAAAAGCGCATCTGGGCTCTTAACCTTTTTGTCTAAAAAGGTTAAAACTTCCCCTAAAACACCATCGTGAACTTTTTTTGAACTATATAAGTTATTATAAAAGTTTTCAGTTTCACTTAAAATCTCTTCTGTGCTACTTGCTTCCCTCCCACTAAAAGTCTTCAGAGTAATGATTGACCCACCCTGCGATATAATTTTTTAAAAAAAGTATCTGGTACATTTCTCCCCTTCTTCTATTTCTCTTTCCTTACATCTTAAAATGACACCTCTACTCTGGGCTTCAGACAAAACTGACATTTCTTTCTTGACTTCTTTTATCTCTTCTGTAAATTCCAATCCGCTGTTTAAAAGGTTAAAATATCTCTGCAGTCTTTTCTGCAGCCCCATCATGCGTCTTCTTTCCTTAATCTTTTTCCTTTTTCCTATTTTTTTTAAAAACTGTCCTGTCCTTTGTTTAACCATTTCCCACCACTGTGCTCGTGAGTCTGTAGCAAACAATGGAGGAACTAACTCTGCTGGACAAACTAAGTAATTACACCATTTCAAGCATTTTATCTGCGTTATATGTTCTGTAAAAAAAATAATGTTCATATCGGCGGCATATTCGCCAATACCGATATATCGGCGACAGGCTCATATCGGCCGATAATATCGGCAAAACAAATTTTACTAATAGCTCTACCAATCTCTGTACAAAAATAAACACTTTTCTGAACATTCACCTTAGAATTTTTGGTTTTCATCATCTTTTTCATCCTTCTCTTGTTATTTGTTTCTGGTGTGATTTGGGGAGTTGTTTAAAATTTTCTTACTGAATATAAAAGACTGGTTTTGCATTGAATAAGTGACTCTTGATTAATGCCTTGTTGGGATAAACTATTTTAATGTGATAAGTTACCTTAAAAAAAATTGTATAGCAGTTTTTTGGGCTCAGTTAGGCCTGAGACTTATAACGTGACTTTTACTATGGTTTATCATGCATGCAGATTATATTTTAGGTTAAGCTAATATCGGTTAATTCATAAGACTGGTACAGTGCCTATCAGAGGATCTGTCTATGAGCAGATATATTAGGGATCTGCTGATAGACGCGGCTT